AAAAAAAAAAAAAAAAAAAAAAAAAAAAAAGGTTATGAGAAAACACTGAACAACTGTTAATTTAAAAAACAGAAAAAGAAAAAAGAATACAAAAATACACACACAAAAAAATTAGCTGGGTGTGGTGGCAGACACCTGTAGTCCCAGCTACTTGGGAGGCTGAGGCAGAATAATCACTAGAACCCAGGAGGTAGAAGTTGTAGTAAGCCAAGATCGCGCCTCTGCACTCCAGCCTGGGCAAGAGAGAGAGACTCCATCTCAAAAAAAAAAAAAGACACACTGGGCATTTGTGTTTCTGAGGGTCTGGTATCTGTGCACAGTAGATTCCCCAGCCCACTGGGAGTTTCATGGCAGAGCAACTGGAGTCCTGGAGGTGAGGCTCAGGGACTTGGAGAGTGGAACTCAGAGGTGGGACAGGGGATTGCTTTTGTTTTTCCCTGTCCTGCCTTATTCCTAAAAAGATTAAGGCTGTAGCTAGAACCAGGATAAGACAAAAAAAGGCAAGATGGAGGCAGTAGGTGGGAGACTTAGGGGAGACAAGCTCTTTGAATAGCTACAGGGCAGTCATGTGGGAAAGGAATGAAGATTGCTTGGTGTGGGTCTAAAGGGCAGAGCCAGGGCCAGCTGGTAGACACCCAGGAAGTCAGATAGCAAGTCAACAAGATAAACAACATTGTAACCACCACAGCTGAGGGGCAGTGGGAAGAATGCTGGTTTCAAACTGTTCCCTGTAAATTCATTAGCTCTGTGGCCTCAGGCTGAGGCTTCAGGTGCCACCACTGTAAAATGGGGTCAGCAACGAGCTGCTTTACAAGACTATTATGGGGCAAAAGCAGGTAAAACGACAGGGCTCTACATACAGCCAAGAAACTTCTGAAGTCCCTTCTAACAAATTATTTCAAAGGTTGTTAATGAGAGAAGGTGAAATTAGTCTTGTGTGTGTATAGGAGCTCCCAGAAGACAGAGAAGGTCATTGGAAGAAGCAGGAAGGGAAAAACAGGAGCTCCTAGACAACACCTCTGCCCTTCTAGCCAGAGGGGACAAGTCAGCCTCCTTTGTGACAAGGAAGCCAGGAAGGGTAAGACCCTGGAGGCCAGGCCTAGAACAGTGGGACATACCAACTTGATGAGGCAGTTGTGTGAGTTCAAATCCCGGTGGATGATGCACATAGAGTGCAAATAGGCCTGGAACAAAAGCATAAGCTGAGGCTAAAGGGCCAGCAAATCAACTAGACCCTGATTCTGGAACTTGGGGCCACAGATACTCTCCTCCCAGGCCATGCCCACCCAGCTTCAGAACCCAATCTGGACAACAGGGCAGGCCCTCCTGTGGCCACTCCCTTGTCCCAAAACCAACAGGAAGCCTGGACTTCCTCTCCCTCCCTGCTGCCATCTCCTGCCCATCCTTTTGTTCACCAATCACCAGCACAGTGGCTGGCCAAAGCCCTCACTGCTCTCTCCTAATGTCCCCAACTTCACAGAACCCTGGCCCTTGTAGCATTTCCTCCACCTCTATCCATTTTACTTAGATCCAGGCTGTTCCCTCCTCCCTACTCTCCCAGTCTCTGGCTTCAGCCACTCTGGATCCTTCCTGCCTGCAACAGAGAAGTGACTTCTTCTTGCTCCAGCTAGCTCTGTCTCTCTGACATTCACTTCCCCTAAGACTCCACCTTCTCCACTGTCTAAAGTTTAAGCTTTCTCTTCCTACCCAAATGTTTGTAAACAAATTTCTGTTTATGTCCCCTCTCCAGGCCTCCACCACTGGCTCTTGACACTCTGAGGAGCAACTTCCTTTCTCCTTCCCTTCCCTTGTAAATGTAGAAGGAGCTACTCTCTGCTCTCCAGCCCCCTGCAATACTGCTTCCATCCCTTGGGTTTCTGGAGCTGCTCACACACCCAGGGAGCTGAATCGCTATAGTTCATGACTTGCATGCCTGCCTGCTGGCCTGAGGATGTGCTCCTCAAAGACTGTCCACACCTTTCTTATGCTACCTGCTCCTGAGACTCTTGTGTGTCTGGTTTTTCCTTCCAGTCTTTTCAGTGTCAGCTCTGCTCAAAGCCATCTCCACTTCATAAGCTGAGACACTCCCTGTCCCCGATCAGCCACATGGATGCCTCTTCTGTCCCACAGCTCCAGCTGCCCCTTCTCTGAAGATTAGGTGACTGGCAGCCTCTCTCTAAGCTCTAGTCTCATGGAGCCAGTTTCTTGCCTAGAAGATGTTGATAGGTTCTGCTAGGAGAATAGAAGGCATCAATGCCAGCTCTTCCCAAACCGGTTCCTCAACCATCCCTGCCATCCCCCATCCCCCAAACGTCTGGTAAGTGATACCTCAAGCCACTCTAACTCCTCCTCCTCCTCCTCCTGTTCCCTCATTGCCAACCAGTCTCTCCATTCTGACTCCACCCTGCCTCACCAGTCTCTCCATTCTGACTCCACCCTGCCCCAGGCTCCAGTCCCCACAGCTACTACCTTAATTCAGAAATCTGAAATGTTTCATTAGCCCTCTATGCAGGTCTCCATAGCCTGAGACCCTCCCCATTCCACCCGAACCTACTAACCATATCAGACTTATATATACATATATATATATATACACACACACACACACACACACACACACACACACACACACACATATATATTTGAGATGAAGTGTCTCTCTGTCACCCATGTTTAAGTGCAGTAGTGTGATCTTGGCTCACTGCAACTTTCGCCGCCTGGGTTCAAGTGATACTCCTGCCTCAGCCTCCTGAGTAGCTAGGACTACAGGCATGTACCACCGGCCCAGCTAATTTTTTTTTTTTTTGAGACGAGTCTTGATCTGTTGCCAGGCTGGAGTGCAGTGGCGCAATCTCAGCTCACTGCAACCTCTGCCTCCCAGGTTTAAGCAATTCCTCTGCCTCAGCCTCCCGAGTAGCTGGGACTATAGGCACGTGTCACCACGCCGGCTAATTTTTTGTATTTTAGTAGAGATGGGGTTTCACATGTTGGCCAGGAGGGTCTTAATCTCCTGACCTTGTGATCCACCCGCCGTGGACTCCCAAAGTGCTAGAATTACAGGCGTGAGCCACTGTGCCCGGCCTTGTATTTTTTTTTTTTTTTAGTAGAGACAGGGTTTCACCATGTTGGCTAGGCTGGTCTCAAACTCCTGACCTCAAGTGATCCACTTGCCTCAGCCTCCCAAAAAAGTGCTGATATTACAGGCATGAGCCACCATACTTGCCCAGATTCATTTTGGAAAAAGCACAGCTCTTAAACTTTCTTGCTTAAAAATCTTTTCCTGCCAGGCATGGTGGCTCACACCTGTAATCTCAACACTCTGGGAGGCTGAGGAAGGAGGAATGCTTGAGCCCAGGAGTTTGAGACCAGCCTGGGCAACAAAGTGAGAACCTGTCTCTACAAAAAAGAAAAATAAAAAAATTAAAAAAATAGGTGTGGTGGTACACACCTGTAGTCCCAGCTACTCGGGAGGCTAAGGCAGGAGGATTGCTTGAACCCTGAGGGTCGAGGCTGTAGTGAGCCATGGTCGTACCACTGAACTCCAGCCTGCATGGCAGAGCAAGATCCTGTTTCAAAACAACAACAAAAACCCTTCCTGATTCAAGCTCCAGAAACAGGGGAAAAAAAACCCAAAAACCAATCAACCAAAAAACTCTTTTACATCTGTCTCCTAAATATACTCCAGACTGCTTAATTTAAAACACAGGGACCTTAACGTACCCCCAAACTGTTCCAGACTACTACTATCTTCATGGACCCCCATGTGAAGGGCAGTGGTTAGTCTCAGGCTTGGTGATCAGACTGACTAACCCAATCCCAGCTCTGTCCCTTTCCAGCCCAGCTTCTTATCTGGAAACCAAGGCTGTCATGAGGAATAAACATGCACCTGCATATTAATTCCTCAGCTCAATGCCTAGCATATAGAGAGCACTCAGTACTTGTCAGCTGTTGTTACTGCTATGATTGGAATCATTTATTTCCAGGTAAAATAGATGATTTTCTCTTCTTTCCTCCTAGGTCTTTGCTCCTGTCACTTCAATCTTGGAACCTCTCTGCCAATAGAAGTTTTATCCAATTCTGACCCTTCAGGGCTCTGCTAGAACTCATTTCCCCTTCACTGATTTCCTAGGCAGTGAAGTGCTCTACTTAGTTCAAGGGCCCTCAGCGTCTGGACACCTGGAACGGCAAGGCCAGGCCACCTCAGGCTACAATTTGCCTCTCCAGTTTGCCTTGTCCATGCCGTTTGCCCTTAGAGATGCGTAATTCTTTGAGAATAGGGCTGTGAGCTAGGAACAGTTGGCTAGAGGTAGTTTCAGTGACACAGACAAACATAATGAATAGCTGCTGACCCACCCCACACAAGTTGCCCAGGAAGGGGTCTCTACCTTCTAGTGAAGCCCACAATTCTAGCACCTCTCCCTACTTGCACCCTGCTGACAGGTTTGTTGGTGGGACTCACCATTCCGGAGGCGATTCCTTTGGCAAATCTGACCTTCTGCTGCCAGGGGAACGGATCCTGCAGGATGGGGGGAATGATTGTTGGAGGCTGTTAAGACCTGTCCCACTCGTGGTCCAGACCCTAGGGTCAATATGGTCTCCCAGTGAAGCCTTCCTGTCTATGCCTAGTCCCGCCCAACATGGTCCTTTGGGGGCCAAGCAGGGCCCCTCTGGCCTTTAAACTCCCAGGGTAGTGGTAATAGAGGTGTCCGACAACCCACCAAGGCTCCTGGAGACTACAGGGTGTTGTGCTCACCATTCCTCGCAGGAAATCCTTCAGTGTGCCCCCCTCAATGTACTCTGTCAGCAGGTTCAGCTTTTTATCCTTGTACAGCACACCAATGAACTTGAGCACATTGGGGTGGTCCAGGCTGCGCATCACTTTCACCTAGGGGTGGGGGAAGCCAAGAAAAGCTGGTGGTTAACATCTTACTATGTCTTCCTTACACCTTTCCTCCAGGGAATCAGCTTGACAAGTGTTACCACCTGCATTTCCTACTGCCTATCTTGTGATATGGCAGGGGACTAAGATCAAGATGAGGGAAGAACACCACCATATGGATGGAGATGGCTTCACAGGCCTCACCCTTAGCATCCTGCCTTTCTAGGAACTGCACTGGTGGAACAGTGGTGGGAGTGGCCACTGGAGGGCAGTGCTTGGACCGCAGGTGTCGCCAACTGAAGTTGCTCCATGAAGTAACTTGGGAGAGGTGGTGAAAACTGTAAATGCTCAAGGAATTGAGTGCTCAGGGAGCTCCCCTCCAGGTTCCCTTAGCAGGGTGTTCAGGTAAGGATTATAACAGAGCTGTACTAAATTGGTCTGTTTTCATGTCCATCACCCTCATAATCTGAGAGCTCCTCTGAAACATGTATCTTTTGTTACTGCATCCCTTGTACTCAGTTTGTGCTGCCTTTAGTAAGTGTTCGTTGAACAAATAATTATGCTGTAATTTAGAGGGAGTGGGGATATTCCTTTAGTGCTCTTTTTTGCTTAGTCTTTAAGACAGTGATCCAAACTATATTTCCTCTTGAAGCCATTATTTGTAAGGTCTTCCCTCTTCCAATGGTGACACCAAACTCCTAGTCCTCCTCCATCTTCTTACCTCAGTCAGAAAAGTCTTCTGGGTCTCCTCATCACATCGAATTAACTCCTTCATGACCATCACTTTGCCTGTGGCTTTGTGTGTCACCTACAGGGAGGGTAACTATTAATGGTGCTGAGACCAGAGGCAGTTTCTGAAGAACTGTTTGAGAAAATCTATGCAACTGGACATCCCACCCTTTGGAGGGTACACTGAGCCGGGTCAGACTAACAGAGTTAATGTGTGGAAGATGCAGCGTGGAGCAACAGGGGATTCAGACAGAAGCATACTCTCTTTCCTGGAGAGCTGGGCATGCATGGAGAAGAGCTAAGAACTCAGAAAAGCGAAGTGGGGAAGGAGGCAGGAGGGGATACTGCCAAGCCAAGCAGGGGCTCTGGTCATTTGGCACAGGAGTGAGTCTCTTGAGTGAACAGAGAAGTCTGGGGGCAGGAAGGTCAGTGCCAAAGACATGCACCAGGGAGCTGGGTGGGTCAGGGGTGAACTCTCCAGCCCCGCTGCCCCCGCAAGCTGAGACACATGGCTTACCTGACCCCCCCTCCCAGTTCTCAGCAGAGGAGGAGGAGGAGAGAAAGAGAGAGGTTAGTCCCCGAGACTGTTCCCCAGGGAGGCAGGAGCCATTACCCTGTGTGCTCCTTGTAGCATGCCCGGTACTAAGTCCTGGGGGCACCTAACAAACACCCACTGACTGGTTGCAGGAGGACCACAAGCACAGCTCAACCCAAGCTGGATCTCCAGGTCCACAAGCTCACTGTAACAGCAACATTGACCTTAGGTGGCCTGGGTGGGTGTGAAGGATACCTCTTACATCATGACCCAAAGCCAGGAAGGAGGCCTGATGTCCTGCAGGGTATGGGGTGGGGCCAAGTGGTGAGAAATTCCCGAAAGACAGTGAGAGAGGGGGACTGGGGGCAGAAAAACAAAGCAATTACTGCCTGCGCTCACCTTGATAGCCTGCCCAAAGAAGCCCTTCCCCAGGACCTCCCCGTGGATTAGGTCACAGGGCCGGAAGATCTGCTGTGAATAGCTGCTGGAACAACGAAGGGATTCTGAGCGGCTGATGTCACGGCTGAATAGCAGGGGCTCCTTTGGGGAGCTGGGGCCAGGGGACTTGGAGATGCTGTTACTGCGCCTGAAGATGAGGAAAGATGGGAATAGGGATGCACAGTCCTCAGAGATCACCAAAAAACCCTGGAGGAAGGAACCTAGGGGCTCCTGTCCATTCCAATGTTTATAGTTTAGATGTTATTATTGGGGAACAGGGGCTTTTACATCAGATGTGTCATTATGTGCTTGCAGACATCAGTCATTTATTTAAGTATAGTAAAAACACATTCAAAATGGGAACTCTGCATACATCACACACAAAGCAATTAACTAGACTCTACTAGCTTGTAATGCTCAGTATATGACATACATGACAACACTGCAGATGGTAATTCACCATCTCCCATATCTATTTGACTTAAGGTACTAACTGGTTTAGAGTGATAGTTATACTAGTATCCAAAAAATGAGCCAATGGGATTTTTTTTTTTTTTTTTTTTGAGACAGTCTCACTCTGTCAGCCAGGCTGGAGTGCAGTGGTGTGATCTTGACTCACTGCAACCTCTGTCTCCTGGTTCAAGTGATTCTTGTGCCTGAGCCTTCTGAGTAGCTGGGACTAGAGGCATGTACCACCATGACCAGCTAATTATTGTTTTTTTTTTTTGGTTGAGACGGAGTCTCCCTCTGTTGCCCATGCTAGAGTGCAATGACATGGTCTCAGCTCACTGCAACCTCCACCTCCCAGGTTCAAGTGACTCTCCTGCCTCAGTCTCCTGAGTAGCTGGGACTATCGGCGCACGTGCTACCATACCTGGCTAATTTTTGTATTTTTAGTAGAGATGGGGTTTCACCATATTGGCCAGACTAGTCTCGAACTCCTGACCTCAGGTGATCCACCCACCTTGGCCTCCCAAAGTGCTGAGATTACAGGCATGAGTCACTGTGCCCAGACTAATTACTGTATATTTTTAGTAGAGATGGGGTTTCACCATGAGACTAGCCAGGCTAGTCTCAAACTCCTGATCTCAAGTGATCTGCCCGCCTCTGTCTCCCAAAGTGCTGGTATTATAGGCGTGAGCCACCATGCCTGGCCAGCAAATGGGATTTTGGATGATATTTTGCACATCTTTGCACCTGTTCGTATCTCCTGAATTTTAAGATGATAAGCATAAATGATTTTTCTAGCAATAAAGTCACTATGTTTATATTTTCAAAAGCGGTCCATTATAGTCGTGGTCACTGACTATTATTTTGACTTAGTGAAGAAGGGACAAGAAGGCTGAAGTCCACAGCACTGCAGGTAAACAGCCCTGCGAATTTTCTCTCTGGTGTATGGTCTGCTACTGTTTTACTTGGGCTACCCAGAGAGGACTGAAGCTGGATGGCTCTTGCCTTGTCCTGCCCTACAGGTTTACTTACCCTTGTTCTTTTGCTCTGCCTTCTGCTGACCACGCCCACAAGGGCACACAAGTTTAGCTGACCGCCTCCTCTGCATGGTGGCTCTACAGATATCTGGTCACCCCAACATCTTCCCTTTTCCAGGCCATGGATTTCCAGCCCTTCTCTGCCCTCTGGTGCCCTGCCTCCCGCTAATTTTATCATACTGACCAAGGCCAAGAGGCAGTGGGAGTGAGGGGAGCAATTTGAGCAGTGGGTACTGTTTCTAACACATGCCAGCTGAGAGGGCCCCAACTTACTTACTCAGTTTGTTTGGTGAGAAGGGTGGATAAAAAAATCATTTTTTTAATTTTTTATTTTGAGACAAGGTCTCACTCTGTTGCCCAAGCTGTAGTACAGTGGTGTGGTCAAGGCTCATTGCAGTCTTGAACTCCTGGGCTCAAGCAATCCTCCTGCCTCATCCTCGAGTAGCTGGGATTACAGGCATGCACCAGCATGCCCAGTTAATTTTTTTATTACTTGTAGAGACAGGAATGTTGCCCAGGCTGCTCCTGAACTCCTGGCCTCAAGAAATCCTCTGGCCTTGGCCTCCCAAAGTGCTGGGATTACAGGTGTGAGCTATAGTGCCCAGCTCAGCTAATTAAAAAAAAATTTTTTTTGTAGAGACAGTGTGTCACCATGTTGCCCAGGCTAGTCTCAAACTCCTGCAGTCAAGCCATCCTCATACCTAGGTCTCCCAAGTGTAGGGATTATAGGCATGAGCCACTGTACCTGGCCAAGAACCTGATTCTTAGTGATACTAAGAATACGTCATGTTTACTGAACACTGTCCCTATGGCAGCACTATACAACTTTATGTCCTTTTCCACATTTAATCCTAACATAATTGGTGAGACAGCCACCTTTGTCTTGCCATCACTTCACAGATGCAGAAACAGGCTCAGAGAGATGAAGTGATTTGTGAAGGGAGGAGCTCAGCCTGAAGCCCCAGTAGGATATCAGTATTTCTGCCAGGGAGCCAGTGCTCGACTTATTTTCTGGAAGTCTCCCTACTTGGGGCTTCCACTCAAGGCAACTACTGCTTCCCACCCATGGACCTGGCAGAATCTGGGGTTTGGGCTTATTGGCCCCTCAAGTCTAAAGAACTTTCATTCATCTTTTGCTTTATTATTTTCAAAGTCCTTCTATACAATTTTTTTCAACCCTATATGTACCCCTAACTCCAGGCTCTGAGCTGCATGCCTCCTCCACAGGCCATGCTGCCCTTCAGGGTACAGTATCACTGCCTCCTGTCCAGCTTAGGAGTTCAGTGGACAGAGCTTGACCCTCCAGTTTTTAAGGAAACCTGGCAGACAGCTGGGTATGCACAGGCTCTCTCTATGAACTGTGATTCCCATAGGGGCAGCTGGGTCAGCACAATCCTCATAGTCTGTCCCTGGCCAGCTGGTGCCTTGCCTAACTTTGCAGGCTTCTGAAAGCCACCTCAGCTTCATCTGAGAGACAGACATGGGACAGAAAAGAGCCAGAGTGGGAAGTGGCACCTCAGAGAGCGTCTCCTCAGTGTTCCCTCCAGATTCTCCTTGGTGTCCAGGGTGCTGAGGGTGTGGGGGTGTTCGGCATCCTGCATGTGAGGAGAGAGTCGGGCCTCCAGCCGCAGCTGATCCAGGCGCTGGGAGACGGGGTCATGTTCAATCAACAGCTGAAGCGTCTGGCTCGTCTGGCTAATTGCATCCTCCACCTGTGGCCAAGAGCAGTATAAGGCTCCTACAGGCTGCCCCATCCCAGGCCACCCATGGCCAACCCAGATGACTCAGGCACAGTGTGGCTAGCGCTCAACTTGGCCAATGGTGGCCACTAGCTGCCAGTGGCCTCACAGTGCCCTCTGCATGGTATCCTGTCAGCTCTCCCATTGGTCAACCATCCCTGCTACCCTAGGAATAGGTCATCAGTGGTCACAGGCTCAATGCTAAGACAAAGAGATGGGCTGGGGGTAGGAAAACATAAAGGCTGTAGCCTGATTTCCCAAAGGATCTGTTTCATGTCCCACCCTCACAAGACAGATTGGACACACACTCTACCTCCTCCACTCGAAGTGTGCGGACGGGGGTCCCATTGATCTCCAGAATGCGGTCCCCAGGATGGATGGCATTGCGATTGTTGGGACTGATGTGCATCCGGTTGACCCTGCCCAGACAAGAGTTGAGGCAGAATAAAGATGTCCTAAAAACCTGCTTGACCAATTCTGCTTGTGCAGGGAAGGTTTACCAGGTCCCAGGCCACCAGTGGCCCCTAAGGGTCCCAGGATACCCACACAGAAAAGCAGCACCCTTTCCAGGATGTCCCATCTCAGTGAAGGGCACTGCCACTCACCCTGTGGCCTAAGCTAGAAACCTGGACAACATCTTCCTGTCTGGAGTTCCTGTCTTCCTCTCCTACTACAATCTCTAAGAACTCTGCCTTCTTTCCATCACTGTAGTTATTCATACCTCTTACCTGGATCACTGTAACAGCTTCTTAAAAAAAAAAAAAAAAAAAAAAACTTTATTATTATTTGAGATGGAGTCTTACTCTGTCATCCAGGCTAGAGTGCAGTGGCACAATCTGGGCTCACTGCAACCTTCACCTCCCAGGCTCAAGCAATTCTCATGCCTCAGTCTCCTGAGTAGCTGGGATTACAGGTGCACACCACCATGTCCCCTCTAATTTTTTGTAAAGATGGGGTTTTGCCGTGTTGGCCAGGCTGGTCTCAAACTCCTAACCTCAAGCAGTTCACCCGCCTCGGGCTCCCAAAGTGCTGTGATTACAGGCATGAGCGACCATGTCTGGACTTTTAATTTTAAAAAATAGAGACAGAGTCTTGCTATGTTGGCCAGATTGGTCTTGAACTTCTGGTCTCAAGCAATCCTCCCACTTCAGTCTCCCAAACTGCTAAGATTACAAGCATGAGTCACCATGCTCAGCCTACAACAGCTTCCTAACTGGTCTCCATACCTCTAGGCTTTCCCCTCTCCACTCCAACCTCCATGCCAGTGCTCCTTCTAAAATGTTAACTTGGTCACATCACCTTGCTGCTGAAACTCTCAATGGATCTGCTGGATCTTCATAATCCAGGTCCTCCATGCTTAACAGCCCCTTTTTTGGTCACACCCAACCTACACCAGACATGATTAAGACTCTCACTTTTGGAGAAATGCTTCTCCCTCTGCCCTGAACACAATTCGCTCTCCTCTTCATCTAATGAGGTTGCAGAACAGACCTTAGCTCCTGACTTCCCAAATTCTAGTACCTTTCACCTACTGTGCAAGAACTAGCCTAGTGTCCAAAACATGGTAGATGCACAATCAATATTTACATGGTAAGTGGCCAGAGATACAAAATTACTGGTATTAGATAGACACAGACTCTTCCTCCATCTGGTCTCTGGCCTGAATCTAGGACAGCGTCTTAACTTCTTTTGGGCCATGGAACACATTTTCTCCATTCATTCTCTCAACCAAGAAAATAATAATCAACTCATACCATATGCCAAGTACTATTCTAAGCCCTGGGCATGTAGCACTGAATAAGATAAAGCGAGTTCCTTCTGGAATTTACATTCTAGTGGAGAGGACAGAAGATAAACAGCTAGTACACATAATTGCTCTGTCGCCCAGGCTGGAGTGCAGTGGTGTGATTTCGGCTCACTGCAACCTCCGCCTCCTGGGTTCAAGAGGTTCTCTTGCCTCAGCCTCCCAAGTAGCTGGGACTACAGGCGCATAACACCACGCCCGGCTAACTTTTTGTATTTTTAGTAGAGATGGGGTTTCATTGTGTTAGCCAGGATGGTCTCGATCCCCTGACCTCATGATCCGCCCGCCTCAGCCTCCCAAAGTGCTGGGATTACAGGCACCGTGCCGGCCTGAGCCAGATAATTTCAAAAAGCAAACATGATTTGAAGCCTGATACCTGAAAGGTGAGCGATTCTGGCCTTAAGTATCTGGTAGGAAGTAGCATGGGCAGAGAAAACAGTTAAGTGCCAAGGCCCAGGTGTGGTTACAGCATAGTGGGGTCCAGGAGAAATATATGAGATGAGGATAAAGGGAGCTCTGCGTAAGACTTTAGAGTTCTGACCCCTCTGAGGCCCATTTACAGACTCTGCTCAAGAATCCCTGCTGAAGAATTCTCAAAATACTTACTCTTTCACTTGCACAGTGGTGGTGTAATTGGAACAGGCACTCTCCACGGACACAGAGAAGCCCCGCCTGCCCTCGGTGGTGGCCGGCATGGAGATGAGTGTGACAGAGTAGGGTAGCTGGTTCTGAACAGACTCTGTGGAGAGTCTCTCAAACATGGGTGCCAGCACCACCTCATTGTGGCATTTCCCACTGGGGAGAAGGAACAGAGGGAAGTAAGATGCTGGAGACCCACACAGAAGCCCCCCAGCAAACACTGCATCATGTGGCTTTAAGCAACAGTACCCATAGTCTCACTATCACCCTCTCTCTCATGATTCTAGCTGGCTGCTCAGAATGAGGATCCTGAATTCTCAGGGTGGGCTGGGACAGGAGGTGCTGAGCTGGATCTGCAGAAAGCGGTATATTGGGAAGAACACTGGCCTGGGTTGGGGTGAAATGGCCTGGGTTCTTTTCATTCTGCCTTTGACTCACAATGAGAAACTTGCCCTGTACTCTTCTATGCCATGGGCCCCAGGCTGACTTCTTTTGATAACTAAGGTGGTTGGACAGGGTGAGCTAAGGGGTCTTTGAATTTAATGTTTTGGGGTCCTCCTTTGAGAGAGCCTCCCACTGGGAGGACTGCAGGGCAGAGTGAGAACATTTTCAAGATAGGTACGAAAAAAGGGCAAAGACATATGTAAATCATTCTGCTTGTAAGTTAAAGGGCTGGTTAAGAGCATTGTTGTGATAGGAATCCAATGTTCTGCCTACCCCAACAGTGTTTCTGCCCAACTCACCCTGCCACCATCCCTTCCCCAGGCCACTCTTATATGAGAGAGGATAGACACAGGGTCACCATCTTACCAGTAGAGGGTGGCATGCTGCACCAGTGCATACGCATCCCCATCCTCAATGATCACCTTGCAGCTCATACAGGCAAAGCACTCTGGGTGGTACTTGAACTCCCCAGCCACCTGTGAGCAGGTGGGGAGAAGGGTGTGCAAAGGGAAGAAGGAAGTGAGTTATCACTGTTGCTGGAGTGAGGAGAGGGGTGGGTGAATGACTGCCAATCAAGGCCCCAGTCAAAATCCACTCTTTCACTGTCTGCCCTAGAGCTTCCAAAGGAAGTATCAGATTGGTGCCTCCTGTCATTTCTGAGATTGAACAAAACTGTTTTGGTCTCAGTTATGAGAATAAGTCCCCAGAAGTAATCATCCCCACTAAAAAAGATCACAGTTCCTCCAATAGAGGGTTGGCAAGTCTGTGACTATACTTAAAGCCCTTTGTCCAGAGCAGGTACAAGAGGCAGCACCTCTCTCTGCCAGCTCATTCCAGAGTCTTCTTTTCTGATTCCCTGAACACAACCTAGGCTTATCCTCTTCTCAGCCTGTAACACTCTCCTTTGAGGTCCTTATCCAACTGTATTGTCTCTCCTCTCTGCCTGCCTCTCCTCCCACTCCCAACATTAAACTATTAAGTCTTTGAGGGAAGGATCTTACCTTTCACTTAACAGGTGCTCAATTGATACCTGCTGGCTGAATGAATGAATAAATAAAGGGAGATGCCTTGGCTGATGGAAAGACCAAAAGATGAATGGCCACGGGGAACCGGAAGCACTGTCAATGGACTCTGATGATCAAGAGGGGCAGATAGGAAGGGACTCACTCACCATAAAAGGCCCTGTCATCAGCAGGGAGCACCCATGACAGAACTCCCCAAACTTCCCCCAGTAGTCCTTGCGACAGTAGAGCTTCCCATCCTTCTCGTAGTACCAGTTGGTGAGGGAATCCTGGCACTCTGAACACCTGAAAGGCAAGACAAGAACTGAAACTCTCCTGGATCCCTGGAAGCAGGCCACATAGGCTGTCCCTGGATCCTAGGTCTGACAACAAAATGGACAGTCTGATCCAAAGCCAAGATGGGGGAAGTTACAGCCTCGTGCTGTCTCCCCAAGGGAAACTGGTTCAGAGTGAACAAGGCCCTAGAAACTAGCTCTGTGTTGCCTGTCTCAGTGAACAGACTAATGTTTCATAACCTCTTTGGGTCTTGGAGCCCTCTGAGAATTTGATAAAAGCCAAGAAGCCTCCCCTAGATAAATGTACATATAAGGAAAATGTGCATATAATTTAGGTGTGAGGGGTGGGTATATCAAGGATTCTCCAGCCGGGCGCAGTGGCTCATGCCTGTAATCCCAGCACTTTGGGAGGCTGAGGCAGATGGATCACGAGGTCAAGAGATTGAGGCCATCCTGGACAACGTGGTGAAACCCCGTCTCTGCTGAAAATACAAAAATTAGCTGGGTATGGTGGCATGTGCCTGTAGTCCCAGCTACTTGGGAGGCTGAGGCAGGAGAATCCCCTGAATCTGGGAGGCAGAGGTTGTAGTGAGCAGAGATTGCGCCACTGTACTCCAGCCTGGTGACAGAGGAAGAGACCATCTCAAAAAAAAAAAAAAAAAAAAAAGGATTTATCTGAAACCTATTTATGGCCCCAGTTAAGGACCTGTGGTCTAGACAGATACTTCAATGAACAAAAGCAGCTTAATCATCTCTACTCTTCAAAACAACCTGTGATGAACAGTGTTACCAATGTAATGTTCTTGCCAAAAATATGTTAAGCATAAAAAAACGAATCACGCAAATCTAGGATGTGGGTTATTCTATAAGATAACTGGTCTTCACTCTTCTAAAAAGTCATGAGTAGAAGAAAAGGCACAGATTTTTAAAAAGCCTAGAAACACAGCAACCAAATACAGCACCTCAACCTTGGATTCAAATTTAGATAAAAAAGGAAACAGCATGAACAGTTTTCGAAAAACTGAGGAAATCTGGATTCAGACTATAATATTATATTGTAAAATTACTGTGAATTTTCTTAGATGTGATGATATTGGGTTTATACAGGAGAATTATTAGGAGAAACACTGAAACATTTAAGGGTAAAAGTCAAGATGCCTTTAAGTTACTCTGAAATAGTTCAGCAAAAATAAATAAAAGTATATAGATAGACAGCGAGAGATACACAAAGTGGCATAACATTAACAAATGATGAATCTGTGAAAGGTATGTAGGTGTTCTTTGAACTACATTTTCAACTTTTCTATATATTTGAAAATTTTTCAAAATAAAATATTGGGGAAGAAACTCAATACTTTATTAGCACTGTGTAAGATGTACATGTTAGATCCATAGCTCACTAAGTGCAGGGGCTGACACCTGTAATCCCAGCACTTTGGGAGGCTGAGGTGGGAGGATCACTTGAGCCCAGGAGTTTGAGAACAGCCTGGGAAACATAGTAAGACCCCATTTCTTAAAAAAAAAAAAAAATCCATGGCTCCTTTCTCCCCTAATCACCTGGTTATGAAGCTCTACCTCTCAGGTCAGGTGTGTTCTCAGGACTTACCTGCACAGACAACCTCCTCCTCCCTTCTGAGCTTCCCAGCACACACAACTGAGACTTCCCCGGCCTTCTGAGCTCAAGCCATTTCTTTCCTTCTAGTTCCTTCTTTTCCCTATTTTTGTTGTGAAGGCCTTCCACACTGGCTACATCCTTGCTTCTGAGAGGTTTGAACATTGCTTGGTTTGAATCTTGATCCTGCCACTTACCAGTTACGTCACCTTGGGCAAGATATTTTACTTCTCTGGCCTAGTTTCAACTATAAAATGAACTGATGTGAAAATTAAAGGAAATCGTATGTATTAAAAACATAGAGAGCAGCCAGGCGCAGTGGTTCACACTTATAATCCCAGTGCTTTGGGAGACTGAGGCGGGTGGATCATGAGGTCAGGGGTTCGAGACCAGCTTGGCCAACACAGTGATACCCCATCTCTACTAAAAATACAAAAATTAGCTGGGCATGGTGGCACAGGCCCACCTACTCAAGAGTCTAAGGCAGGAGAATCACTTGAACCCAGGAGGCAGAGGTTGTGGTAAGCTGAGATCGCACCACTGCACTCCAGCCTGGGCAACAGAGCCAGACTCCGTCTCAAAAAAAAAAAAAAAAAAGACCTAACATACAGAAACTCAATATGTGGTATTAATAAAGATGGTAATGACAATGTAATGGCAGCTCACATTATCAGTCACTTACTGCCACTAACTGGACAACTTCTCTTAGTAGCTTTCGCTCTTTGACAAAATCTAACTATAGCATCCTATTATTACAATGAGCTAGTGAGAAGAGGAAATAAGCTAATGTATGAGAGAAAGCCTTTTGCCAGGCAAGTGCAGCTAAACACTGCCGCTATAAAAGACAAATACACAGGGCACCCCACTTCACCTTTCATGAGCTTATGAAGAGTTGAGGAAGAGAAAGTCTAAATAAAACTTAACAATACAAGGTGAGAGACCACAATGAGTACTACTACTTCTGAGCACTGTGGGAGGCAGAGAAGGGCGGCAGGAATGAGCTGAAGCAGCTGAGCTAGGGAAGTTTAGAGAAGCAAGATCCTGAGAATCCCTTTATCTTTCTGGAATGCCCAATTCCCCTGGGTGCTCAACAACTACTGATGGCTATTTTCTTCCTATAGCTTTTCCTATTTGTCCTGTGGAAAGGGAAGTTCAAGGTCTTGAGGGTTGGGTATGGCAGAAAAGTATGGCGGTGAGGTATCTAAATACTGTGCAGTGAGGATGGAGACAGAGGGGAAGACTGTTCTCAGTATGTGGCTCACACTCCTCTCAATGTAAGATACATGTGGATGAGCTCTAAATGGGGAGGAAAGACATACGGGCTGAAGTCTTGGGTGCTAACATGGCCTTGGACAAGCCCCTTTCCCTCTCTGGGTTGTTTCCCCACCTGTGAAAGAAGGGAACACATAATCCCAGGTCTCCTTAACTCTATGCATAGCTGTGTTTTTCCCTAGATAATCTGAGGTTCTAATCTTAGCACCACCATTTACCACCTAAATGATATTGAGCTAGTCCCTTCACTTCTCATTTGTGAAATGGCAATATCATCACCTATTTTCAAGGTAGCAGTGAGGATTTATTTATTTATTTTTGAGATGGAGTTATGCTCTTATTGCCCAGGCTGGATTGCAGTGGCACGATCTCGGCTCGCTGCAATTTCTGCCTCCTGAGTTCAAGTGATTCTCCTGCCTCAGCCTCCCAAGTAGCTGGGATTACAGGTGCATGCCACCATACCCGGCTAATTTTTGTATTTTTAGTGGAGACAAGGTTTTCCCACGTTGGCCAGGCTAGTTTCAAAATCCTGACTTCAAGTGACTTGCCCGCCTCAGCCTCCCAAAGTGTTGGGATTACAGGTGTGAGCCACCGCGCTTGGCCTAACCACCTTCTTCTTCACTAGGCTGTTAGCTCCCTGAGGACAAAAACAGCATCCCACTTACTCTTGGTAGACTCAGCACCAAGCAAAGGACCTGACAGAGCAAGGCCTTAGCAAATGTTTCCAAATGGAAAATGGCAGGAGTGGCAAGAACCAGTAGCCCAGGTGGAAGCACAAAGGTTCCATGGCTCGTGGTCACCAGGTCCTTCTTTTCTTCTGTGTGCAGACATATTTGCACCCAAATGCAGGCCTGGGCTCTGTTACGCCCTTGCAATGGTATGTGCGCTGCAGGGCATGGGAGCACCAGAACACACCCTCCTTTCCATTGCCAATATCCTGCTTTTGTTTGCTGCAAGTAGCTTTGGCCAGGCCCAGGAGAGGGAGCAGGGAGAGAAACAAGTGCAGGCATGCAGAAGACAGCCAGGCCAGCCTCCTGGGAAGAACACCTGGCTGGAAAGCAACATTACCAGTGCACACATCTGTGTCAAGGAATGTCTTTGAAGGGCACAGCCAGCTATGTGGCCAAAGTCACTGCCACAGATGTCTTTGAAGAATCGGAAGGTGAACAGCTGATAGGAGGGCTGGGTATGGGTCCCTAAACCGTGTTTTGCCACAGAATACAACTGGGTGCTTAGACCATTAAGAAGTCACCATGGTAGACTTCAGAGTTCTAGCTTAGCTATCAATAACATCTACTATTTATTGAATGCCAACCACAATCCAGGTCCTACATGAGGTAACTTACTTCATATTATCTCTAAACCTGACAACCCTACAAGGTAGGGTTGTCACATCTCAACAGCTGAGTCTCAGGATTCTCACCTGTGAAAATAAGGAGGCTGGAGCCCTGACAGCTCGAGATCCTTTGAGTGTTAACACTTCGTGATGCTTCTCCTTTAGCCCAAGTACTGAATGTTAAATGACACAATTCTACTCCTTCATATACTTCACAGTGTTCAATTCCCCAGCATTCTCTGTTCTTTTAAGCAAAGAATCCAGAACACACTCTGGAAATGTAAGGTGCTACTCAAAAATGCCCCACCTCAGATTCTTAGAGGCCATGGACACCATAAGTTCTTCCCAAAGCCAAGGCTTTTTTTCTACCTTTCAATTTTTGAAAGTTTCAGGTGAAAGTCAAAATCTTCCCTGGCTGTAGGTAGAAGAGTACCCAGCTGAGAGGTGGTGAACTGACGTCTGAACCCAGGGCTGAAGTACCAGTCATCCCACTCTCCTAAGGAGCCGGAGTGAACTGAGCTGAAATCCTCAGGTCAGAGGAAATCACCTAGAAGCCTACATACACTGAGGCTACACCTAAGAACAACCTCCAAAACTCATCTTCCAAAACATTATTGAGGGCTTCTGAGGGCATGGGCAGATACAAAGTGCACAGAACCCTGGTAGTCAGTTCAGTGGGTCAAACCAGATCCACACAGAGGCCTTTTGAGTCAGCAGAGAACACATGAGTTAAAAAAAGCAAAACAAAACAAAACACTCCTCATTCTTTAACTAGAAAAAAAAGATAATCAGTTGAGATTTTCTCTTTTAAGACCTGGATCCATATTCCTTCTCTGCCATTTACTATCTATGTCACCTAAGGCCAGTTACTTCATTATTCTGAGCCTCAGTTTCCTCACCTGTATATTGCTGATAACTTATGGGGTTATGAGAATTAAATTATGTACAGATGTCTTTCATGATGCCTGGCTCACAGAGGTACCCAGTAAATGTTCATTTCTTTCCCTCCCCAATTTGAGAATGCCAAGGGCAACTGCAGACAGACCCCTTTTCCTCCTATGCTTAGCAATATGGACCTGCTTCTGGGCCCAGAATGAAATAGATTTCTATAAGTAAAGAAGGAAGGTCCTAAAGTGAATTATTTATTCATTGAATTAGAATCAACCGATTTGTTTTTTTAAAGAGACAGAGTCTTACTCTGTCACCCAGGCTCAAGAGATCCTCCTGCCTCAGCCTCCCAAGTAGCTGGGACTACAGGTGCACATCACCATGCCTGGCTAATTTTTTATTTTTTGTAGAAACAGGGTCTCCCTACGTTGCCCAGGCTGGTCTCAAACTCCTGGATTCAAGTGATCCTACAGACTTGGGCTCCCAAAGTGCTGGAATTACAGGAATGAGCCACCATGCCCCGCTGAAATCAATTGATTCTAATAGATTCCTAACAATTAGGAAATACTTACTGTGCATCTAGGATGTTTAAGAACAAGCAGGCAAGGTGCCGTGCTGGGAGAAGCCAAGTGAGATAAGATATAGGCCCAGCCCTCACTCATGTCCAAACTCTTCCGACAAAAATGTTTACGGGTAAATTCTCAACCTTACGAGGTAAGAGAACCAGTCATTATTGCAGTGGATTTACACATGTTCAAGCATAAACCCTCCCATGTCCTGATGAAGGCCTGGCTGGATGGTCATCCCTTAACCTCCCAGTGAGCAGCCAGTTGTAGCCAAGCTTCTTTCAACCCCTAGCCTCTGAACTCACTGGGCTGAAGGAGAGAATGGGAAGCTCCCTCCACCATAGCCTGAGGGCACCCACAGAGCACCACAACTGGGGATGCCAACTTTTCCCCAGGGCCCAGAAGGGCAGATATGACAGGGGCCTAGAGACTGCTCCTTAAGAGCTCAGTCAAAAATTCCTTTATTACTCCTCCTTCCTGCAGATCCTATAGACTGAAACAGTCTGCCAATTAAACTGTATTATGGAATATGTTTTTATTATTTTAAAAAATCAACCAAACAGACAATGAGCCTCTGAACAGCAAGAAGTAAGTGTTGCTAGAGTGCACTGATTCACTTCCAACCAAAAACCAGGAAGCCTGTAGTTTCAAGTAATTTGTGTAGTTGTACTGCAGTTAAAGACAGGGCCTCCATTATTTGGAAAATAATGGAAAAGAGATTATGTGCCTCTGAGGAGCCACACACATTGCAGAGTTGGGAATCATTCACCTGATCCAAGTCCTTCATTTTTCAGATAAGGAGAAAAAGAGTCCCAGAGGACCTAAGGCACCTGCCAAAGGTTACTGTGAAGCAGGGCAGAGTTAAGCATAATTTCTTTCCTTTAAACATGGATTGCTTTGGAATACAAAGATATGTTTGTTTTCTTCAAGAGATAATGTGTAAACCCAGTTCATTAAATCAGTGTTGGACATGAAGCGAAATTCTATAAAAAGAAAATTGCTTTAAAGATGTCAAACAAAAGACACTCCCTAATTTACCTCTTTTGTAAATTCCAATTTAAGGTATTTTCTTACTTGGAAGCACAGTAGTAATTGCATCTCACTCCTCACGCTAGTGTGGGTAGCGAAGACAGTGCATTTCTGCTGAGTATGTATGGCCTGTCAGGCAGGGGTGTATGGGACACAGAAGTTGTATTCTTCATTCCCTTGCTCCCTCTTCCTCCCTCACATGTCACGCCTGATCACGTCCTCGTGGAATCTGGTTGCATCACCTTCCTTGCAACCACAGCCCCAGAATTCCTATAGACTTTGTATTCCCCAAGAGGCCTGAGGTCAAGGACTTAATTTGTTCCACAGAATCCAGCAAGGACGCTGTTCAGGAGCCCAAGAAGTCTAGCTTCTACTTTATGCCAATGACAAAACTGAGGCCCAAAGAGGAGCCTTTGAGGACACCCTATAATAAAAGAGGGAGGGGCTAATGGCAGAAATAGCTTTCTGACCAGGCAGTGATATGGTAATTGATAAGATACCTGGGAGTGCAGAGGGTCTGGGCGGTCCCTCCCGGGGGTGGGGTGGGGTGGGAAGAGTCCTGTGTGCCAGCTATTTCTTCAGAAGTGACTTCAGGCACGTGGCCTCTTATTTAGGGGAGAGGAGAGTAGAGTATCTACAGAAAGTCAGCCAGTATCCCCCAGACTCCAGCTAGGCAACAAACAGAGCTTGAGGTGTGGGGGCAAGGTCATCAGGTTCTCCAGAAAGGCTGGGACAGAACAAGACAAAAGACAGGTGGACCTGGGTGGCATTGGTGGCTTGGCCCTTAAAGGTTCAGGTTGAGAGTTGACAGTTCACTATCTGCTCTAGCTCCAGCTCCTGAAAAGGTGTGTCCTCCCTGGCTTCCCTGCCTCTCCAAGGGTAAAAGGGGTATAGTTCCTGGCTCCTAGAACAACCCTTCCCCTAAGCTGCCTTTCCAAGATTAAAAGTAAGAGAAACTAATGAGGACCTGAAATGTGGCTACTTCAGGTAGATACTTGGCATCTTGATTCCACATGGTAAAAACCTTTCTCCTAAACTCAAGATCAATTTCCACTGGCTCTTTAGAAAACAATCTCTGCCATCCCTTCAACAAGTCAGGCAAACTATCCCTTTTTCTACTCTGCTAGGAGAGGAAAACAAACCTGCAGACCCCTGAAGGATGAGAGAAAGGAAGACAGAAAAAGCTGCCCAGTGAGGCTCCACATGTTAACTTTGTTGAAACTGGTTGCCTCATCTGTAAAATGGGGATACATAATCTCTTTCAGCGGCTGTTGAGAGATTAAAGGATAAAGTGTCTAGCACAGTGCTTGGTAGAGTCAGCATTGAGGACCAGTTCCCTTCCCCCTTCCCCAGTCCAGACACTTCCCACCACTCTACCAGGGTCCAGTCATTCCGTGAAACCACATGGTATACTGCTTTTCTGCCCAGGGCCTGGCCACCTGACTAGTATCCCAGCAGCAAGCTCTGGGCACTGGACCTAGCTTAGGGAAGCCAGAAGGCAAAAGTCGACCAGGACCACTGGTGAGGGGGAGGCAGCCTTTTTGGAACAACAGGCTGCTCCCAAAGAATGAAAACAAGCCCCACCCTAGCCAGGAATGGCTCCATTCAGAAGGAACCCAGAGGGCCAGAAACCCCCTGGGGAGTTTCTATGGGAGGTGGAGTGGGGCAATGAGCAAAGAAAGCCAGGTCAGAGTTAGAGTTTCCACATCTCCCTCTGAGAAACCCCACAGAGAGAGGCTCCTGGAGATACTCAGGCCTAGGGACTGAGAAGCTGAGGGGACTGGCCCAGCAGCTCAGGAACACTCCAAAGACCACTGCTCCAGTCTCAAAAGCACTGGCCCAGGTCTTTCCCCAGCAACTGTATTTACCTGGGAGCTCAGAAGCCCTTCAAAGCCAGAGGCAATGTGCCTCCCATTAAGAGAACAAATGTTTATAAGATGCCTACTGTGTACCAGGCTACCCACACCCAGGCCTTGTCAGTTTCCACAGTTTGGCAAAACCTGCCCATCCTGCTTGTTGGGACAAATTCCTGGGCAGGCTGCATGGCCCGCAGGTAAGACATGTGAGAGCTAGAAACAGCACTCTATTTGTGCTATTCCCCCCGAAGCAGTAACACTTAGAGTGGGCAGGTCAGTGGCATCTTTTGGAGGCTCTTTCAGGTTTGTCTGGGATGGAAAGGGAGCTGGAGCTCCCTAAGAAATTCCTGCTGGGCATATCTCTCCCCTCACCCCTTCTATAACATAATGGGGGTACCTCACCAGGCCGATTCTGCTTGGGAATAACCTCTACTAGCTTCTGCCTGGCAGAACTGATGGTAAAAGACTAAGTGAGAAGCAGATTTAGGGAGACCACCCTCCCCTCAAGACCAGGGACCAGGAGAGGAGACGGAGAAGGGAACTTGGAGACCAACTCACCGAAATGGGTCTCTGGAGGTGAAGTAAGCCGGGACTGACAAGTAACTCCCCATCTTCTTCCCACACCAGATAAACAGGCTCAGCTGCAAATCCGTCTGGGAGTGCCTCAGGCTGGCTGTAGATGGCTACCATGACAGGCCGAGGGCTCCCGGCACCTCTGGCTGCAGGCAGGCTACCCTGAGCTCACCTCTCCCTCCGGAGCAGCTGGAGGAGCCTGAGGACTCCAGGCCACTGGACCCCAGCAGATTCCCACAGGGGCTCATGGCTGGGATGGCTTCTCCCTAGTTCTCAGAGGCTCAGGCGGCCCCTCTGGACTCTGAGAAAACGACCTCTCTGCGGAGGCTACACACACACTGGCATTCTCGGGCAGGAGCCGGTGACTAGCTAAGAAAGAAGCGCTGCTGTCAAGTTAGCCTTCTTCTTCAGTCCCACCCCTGAATGAGGGAGGGAGGGAGGAAGAGGAGGGGCTCCCGCAGAACCGAGGTGTGTGGTTGGAGCAGCTGTTAGGAAACAGACCTTGCCTGCAAGGGGTGGAGCTGGGCTGGATCAAGGCTGCAGGCTGGCGCTGCAGACAATAACTGGGACTGACTGAGCGTCCATCCTGAGCTCAGGGAAGGGTAAAGCAGGATAGAGGGGAAACATATCTGGCCCCAAATGTCCTCACGCAGAGGAGCTGCCTACAGGACAGTAATTCTACTTGGAGGTTTTAAAAAAACCAAAACAAACAAACAAAAAAAAACAGAGAATGCCAGCTCCAGGCATAGACACACTGAAGGGAGGACCTCTGGTAGGAGAGGCAGGTTCAGAGAGCCATCCTAGCTCCCAGCTGACATCTGCTCTGTCCTGGCACTAGGGCACCCATTCATTCCCTCCCTTTGCCTGGCCTGGAGACAGCCTCAAGAACTGACTAATGGGAGGTGCCACTTCCACTCCAGGGCAGGGCTATGTTGCAAATAAGGAAACAAAGCCCAGAGAATTAACCTACACCTGATGTATCTCCATGTACCAAACACTATATGAACTGTTTTACTTCTCTAAGACATGAATTATTCCCACTCTACAGACAAGGGAAGTGAGGTACAGAGAGATTAGGTAATTCACTCAAAGTCAAAAATGGAGTCAGTGGCAGGGCTGGGATTTACATGTAGGCCCATGTGTCTCTAGAGCTGGAGCTCTCCCACTACCAGGCTTCCTTCTGCCTCTTCAAGGAGAAAAATCATTTTCAAAGCCCTCTGCAAATAGTATGGAGCCAAGGTTACTCTCATTCACTCACTATTCACTGGGTGTTCACATGCAGAACACCATCTATGTTCAGTGATAACCATGCTTCTCAAACTGAAAAATGGGGCATGAGGGAGAAGGCCTGGGGTGCCTAGAGGGATTGATAAGCCTAGGTATCTGGAATGGGAGCCTGACTGAAGAGCCCCAGTTTTGAGGATGACCGAACCAGAGCCTACCATGGAGAAAGCCCTTGTCTCCCTACCTGCAGGATTATAAGGGAAAAAGCAAGGCTGCCAAAGGAAACCAGAACACAAAGACCACCATTGGATTTAGGGCAGTGACATCAGCTCTCCCTCGCCAGGCACACCCCCCTTTCCATTGTAAAGAGCCAGAAGTCACCCTGCAGCTTCTATCTCTTACTGCGAACCATGGCAGGAAAGTGTGTGACAAAGATGGTAGATGGGGTTACAAGGGAGCCTTTTACCATTCAACCAGTTGGACACAGGAACAACAATGCATGCGATAAGAGCACATTGGTTTGAATGCCGTTAATAAGCTACCATTTATTGAGCACTTAATATGTTCTAGGCCCTGTGTTAAGTGCTTAGCATCTTACTATTTAAATTGCCAGTGGGGTAAATGTCATCAGCCTCATTTAACAGATTAGGAAATAGGTTCTGAGGGGTTATGTCACTATCCTCAAGACAAACAGCTGGCTGGGCACCGTGGCTCATGCCTATAATCCCAGCACTTTGGGAGGCCGAGACAGATGGATCACCTGAGGTCGGGAGTTTGAGACCTGCTGACCAACATGGAGAAACCCTGTCTCTACTAAAAATACAAAATTAGCTGAGCATGGTGGCTCATGTCTGTAATTCCAGCACTTTAAGAGGCTGAGGTGGGCTGATGGTCAGGAGTTAGAAAGCAGCCTGGCCAGCATGGTGAAAACCCATCTCTACTAAAAATATAAAAATTAGCTGGGCATGGTGGTGTGCGCCTATAATCCGTTAACTGAAAGCTAAGGCAGGAGAACTGCTTGTACCCGGGAAGCGGAGGTTGCAGTGAGCCAAGATCGTGCCATTGCACTCCAGCCTGGGCAATAGAGCGAGACTCCATCTCAAGAAAACCCAAAAAACAAAATTAGCCGGGTGTGGTGGCGCACGCCTGTAATCCCAGCTATTTGGGTGGCTGAGGCAAAAGAATTGCTTGAACCCAGCAGGCGGAGGTTGTGGTGAGCCCAGATCACACCATTGTACTCCAGCCTGGGCAACAAGAGTGAGACTCCATCTCAAAAAAAAAAACAAAAAACAAAATCAATCAAGGAATCACAGGCCATATTAAAATAGGGATTGGGTCATAGCTTGCTGGGCTCTATTCTAGAGCCACAGAGCTCAATCACCACTCTGTTTACTGCCTCTAATGGTGACGAGCAGCTCTTGGCGTTTGTGTGGAGCTCAGCCATATCTGTCTACTACCACAAAGACACCACACTCTAGCCCCAGAGGCAGCCTGGGGAAGTAAGCCCTGAACAGCTTCTCACCCTACACTAAGCACTACTTGCAGCACTACTTGTATGAATGAATTTTAACCCACACGATTCCACAGCACTGTGATTTCTCTCTTTACAGATAAAGCAACTGAGGTACAGAGAGGTTAAATCACTTGCCTGAGGTCACTCAGCTGTAAATATGAGAAGTGAAGCCAGGATCTGAACCAAGACTAGACATTATAGACTATACCATACTATACTGAAGCTCAGCCTGGGCCCACAGCCAGACTGCGTTTGAATGCGACAATGCACTGCACATAAGCCCTTGGCACAAAGTCTGGAACACAGTAAGAGTTGATAAATGTTAGCCGTTAATATCATTAAGACTGTCGTTATAACTACTGTGGGCTAGCTATGTGGCCTTCAGCAAGTCACTGTCTCTGTCTGGGCCTTGGTTAGATCTCTAAATAGCTCCAAGTGTCAACATTTTTCAACCCTATGAGGTTGCAGGGGGCTCTCTGTTTTCCTCGGGTCTCAAGTTGTGTTTAAACTCCTGAGCCAACCCTGAGGAGGTCAGGATCCTGGCTTAGGGGCCACACAAGAGCCACAGAAGAGGTGAGGTGGGCTGGAAGTGGGGAAACAACATACAGGATACCCAAAGGGCTGTCCAGCTGGAGAGCTGGGAGCTCTCCTTCTCCCAGCCACAAAGCCAACTATTTCTCACCAAAAATCTATTATCGTCCCCTGTAATTCAGTCAGGCAAGAAGGGGGCCCTAAATTAAGTCTGGAACTAGCAAATTATCTTTTAATTGTACCCTCTGATTTCCATGTGATGAACACAGTACTGATGGAAGAATACGCAAGCCACAAAGAGACCGAGGCCAGGGAGCCCATGAGCATAACTCCTCTTGACATTTCACACAGCTCTGCTGTTCCAGCGGCGGCAGGCTCAGTGAGTCGGTGTCTAGGAATGTGAGCAGGAGGCTGCAGGCGTTCTCCTCTCCCCCTACTCATCTTACAAATAACTTGGTTGGTTGGTTGGTTGGTGGGTGGGTGGGAAATAAGTCAGAGGACATCTCAATGACATGAAAACTGCCTCCTTCTGGAAGAGAAACAGCCTTCTCCCCATGTCATGAGTTGAAGTGGAAGCCCCTCCCACGTGGAATCCATTTGACCTCCATAAATCCAGACTTCAGGAGGAATCTTTGAAGGATTGATCACCAGATGTGATAAGCTGCTGGCTGCTCAGACCCAAGTGTGTGGTTCCTCAGAGCCAACTTCAAAGGGCCCAAACCACCCAGCATTGGGAGATGAAATGTCACACTGGAGGATATATTTCACCCTCCTGCCTCTGGAAACTGGTCCTGGATAGAAAACTGCTCTTCTAGGTCCTCAGGGCAGCTGACAGAAGATTCAGCAGTTATGACTGCCAAAGGCAACTGCAGGAATCCTTCAACTGGCAGTTAGAGTAGGGAAAAAATGGCAGGAGAGGTGTTAATCTCCAGCACATTTCACAAGTTGGAAACCTGGCAGAGAGCTGAACAAACTGACTCCTTAGAACCAGCTGATGCATAGGTCTTCAAGGCATCTGTGACAGGCTGGAGAACAATAGCCTTCAAAACTGGCAGCCCCAAGTGAATGCTCAAGCAAGGTGTAGTAAGTGAATAAATCACTCCAACCTCTTGATAGGAGAATGCTCTGGTCAAATAATTCAAAACCCAAGGAACCATGTTTATGTGAAGAATTCTCTTCCTCCAGTTAAGGAAGAGAATTTTTAAGGACTATGAAGCCTCCAAATCCTGAAAGGTAGGCATTACCACCTCCATCTACTAACCATCTTTCGTGCTCTACTCCTCTCCTCTTCCAAATCACTTTTTGCATTACAGCAGCAGCAGTCATCCTTCTAAAACAAGGGTCCTGGCTGGGCACAGTGGCTTACACCTGTAATCCCAGCACTTTGGGAGGCTCAGGCGGATGGATCACTTGAGGTCAGGTGTTTGTGACCAACCTGGCCAAAAAAGGTGAAACTCTGTCTCTACTAAAAATACAAAAATTAGCCAGGTGGTGTGCGCCTGCAATCCCAGCTACTTGGGAGGCTGAGGCAGGAGAATCACTTGAACCAGGGAGGCAGAGGTTGCCGTGAGCTGAGATCGCGCCATTGCACTCCAGCCTGGGTGACAGAGAGAGACTCTGTCTCAAAAAATCAATCAATCAATCAATCAAGGATCCCAGCAATTCCATTGCTAAAAATGTTGCCTAGAGAAATACTTTTAAAAAATGCGCAGACATATGTTCAAACAGTACAGCAGTGCTTAATACTAAAAGATTAAGAACAGTCCATGTGTCCATCAACAGCAGTAGGCTACTTTACACCACCACATCCACACAATAAAATACTATGCAGCTGTTAAAAATAATGAGGAAAATCCTAGGTACTGAAGCAGAAACTGTCCTGGGTGAGATGTCAAGTGAAAAACCTAAGCTTCAGAGACAGTGTACAGTATAATCCCATTGTTTCAAAAGTCTATGTGTAAAATCCTTAGAGACCATCTGGAAGAGTGCCACTTGGATATCAGTTTCTCCTTTGGAGCAGTGAAACAAGAAGCAGGTATGAAACAGCATTCATTTTCTACCATTTATATATTATTTACATGTAAATAATTATGTTATTTACATTTTTTTCTTACCTTAAAGTAACGAAATGGACAACAACAAAAAGAAGTCCTAGGATTTAGAGCAAATGCTTGCTCAGAC